TCCGATCACTTGTGCGCACTCGGGAATGTCTCTGGATAGGACCGGACTCGGCGTCAACGGGTCCGATCACTCTGCTGAGGCAGGTTCGGTCATGTTGCTCTAACACACGGGTGAAGTAGCCGTTGGGGCTCAGCGGTCACCTTTGAAGGAGCTAAGCACCCTTGAGCCTTGGTGGCTTGTGTAGGTGCTCTTGGGAGCCCTTTAACTCACATACGCTTGATAGTGATCATCTGATTGAGTGTGAGTGAGATTCTAGTGTGATTGCATCATGAGGTTGCATCGAGTGGCACTAGGTGATCGAGTTGCAAGCCAGTGGTCCTTGTTACCCTTGGAGGCTGCCACCTCCTAGATGGCTTGGTGGTGGTCTCCATCGAAGCACGCAAAGAAGATTGTGCGGTGCTCTAGAGAAGTGATTGTGAGGGGTATTGTGCTCACCTCACGGGAGCCATGAAGAGCAACTCTAGTAGAGCGAAACACGAAGAGCGACAAGTGGTCTGGCCATATCAAAGTGCTAGAGCTTGTGGTAAGCACTCCACGTGGGAGAGTGTGACTTGCGGGTCACCACTAGCAAGAGGACCGGCGACAACCTTGGAGCTTCTCTCAACGGGGACTAGCTTGTTGGCAAACAAGTGAACCTCGGGATAAAAATCATCGTGTCAACCTTGTTCATCCCATTTGTTTGCAATCCCCTTACACAAGCTTGAATTTACTTATTTATATATTGTGCTTGTGTAGTTGCCCTTGTAATTAGTTAGCTTGTGTAGCTTGCTAGTTACCTTCTTGCTTGTATAGCATAGAAGTAGCTCTCTTGCGGAACTAATTGACTTGAGTAGCCTTGTTAGTCACATTGCTTAGTTTGTGTAGCTAAGTAATTTGAGCTCTCTAATTTGACTTGTGTAGCCTTGTTATTGAGCATTGTTAGTGAGCTTAGGAGCTTCGTGCTTTTGCTTACTAGATTGTGTAGGAGCTTCCCCGGTTGTACTAGTTGCATAGATTTCTGTGACCTTGCTACTAGAATTGCTTAGGTGAGCTCTAGCTAGCCCGGCGCCATCCTCCATCGATGGATCCAGCGGAGGTGCCGTCCCCAGCTATTCGTCGTCCATGGATGGGTTTCCGTTCCCCCCTTCACCATCTCCAGCTTGGTGGGATGCGGCCGGTGGTGATCCCTCTTCTCCTAGATTTGGGCGTTCAACAGCTTGGGATGCATCATGGTAATCACTCAAAACTCGTAGATGTGACTTTAAGTTTGGGATTATTTCAATTTACAGTCCTGTTTAAGATGCTAGTTAATATCCTAGTTAATATCTATGACTATATGTCTGACTATAAGAATAGTTGAAGAATATCCTAGTTAATATGCAGTGGAAGATGCAGGTATTGTGTGCTGGAAATGTATGCCTTTTTCTGTGATTACTCCACAATATTCTACCTGATAGTAATATACAGCTCATTAGTCTGCAAATGATTTTATCCTACCTGATAGTAATATACAGCTCATGCAAATAATGCCAAGTCTGTAATCACAATGCACTTGCCTCTTCACAGTTCCAGGAAAATCATCTGTTGCTTCCATTAGCATATGAATTTTTTCTGAAAACAGAATTGCTCATGTGTGTTTGCTTATGGTGATTATCTTTCACCTCCCTGATGATTACTGCCCTCTGGCTTTTTATGTGGTTTTATGAATGAATGAATGTGGCTTCCCATTATTTCCTTATCTCAGCAGGTCTACACCACTGATTGTTGAATTGAGTATTTGAAATCTGATGATGGAACTAGAGCTCAGTCTCTTTGTGTTAGCAATCTCTTGCAGAGTTAGTTTCTTTTTTTTTTTGTTATATCATGGACAGGGAAGTCCTTAGATGAATTAATTTTGTTATACCACTACAAGAGATTGGGCCTTCTATGACAATTTTCAGGATTACGACGCACCTTCTATGACCACAGAATACAGTCACAGAAGGGGTTGTAATTGTCACAATCAGTTAGTCATAGAAGGCATCAGTGACGTACAATTACAGGCTTTTCTTGTCATTGTACCCCTTCTGTGACTATATGCTGTGGTCATAGAAGGTGCGTCATAATCCTAAAAATTGTCATAGAAGGTCCAATCTCTTGTCAGAGCTAGTAAATCATTAGCTTGCAAATGATTTTGTCCTACCTGTAGTAAATTACTTTAGTTTCAATTACTAGTAATAGAAGCTTTTACCTGACGTGTGTTTGCCCTGTCAAAAAAATTATTCAACTTCTATTCCTTGATTTACAGTAATTTCAGTCACTATCTATGTTTGCTCCACGTCCACCTGGTGGTAGCTGTTATCTAATTATGGTTCACTGATTATTTCTGAAAACTGCATGCTATTAATACTACCTATGTGCTGCAGGGTTAAAGACCCACGTCCACCTGGTGGTTTCATGAGCTACTTCGGTAATACGCCACAGAACTTTCATTTGGTTGGTGCACCTATTCACAACAGCCCTGCTAATAGACCAATGTCCAATGAAGCAAGTTCACTGCCTGAAGTGGAAATCTTGCTTGAGCAGCCTTATAATGACAATGCAATGTTAGGACTGAGAGGAGGATCCTCTGGACAGAGGAGGAGGATCTTAGATTGATGAGCTCTTGGATAGAACATTCAACAGATTCTACCTGTGGAGCCGATAAGGGTGGTAAAGAATATTTGAGTGAAGTTGTTGAATCTTACAACAAGACTACCCCGGCACTTCGAAAAAGAAATCTGAAGCAATGCAAGGATAGATGGCACAAGATTAACATGTGGACAGATCTCTTCGAATGTGCTTATGTAAAGGCTTGAAGAGTATTTACAAGTGGATATTCCGATCAAATGTGGATTGATGCAGCCCACAAGTTCTATGATCCTTGAAGCAGTGGCAACCTGGGATCTTCGTATATGGCATGCTTTCTTTGGTACCACCGGGTCTTAGAACGACAAAAACGTTCTAAACAAGTCACCACTGTTCATTCAAGCAATAAAAGGGGAAGCTCCTACGGTACACTATAACGTAAATGGAACACAGTATGACATGGGTTACTATCTTGCCAATAAAATATATTCAGAATGGGCAGTATTCATGAAGACAATGACGGCCCCTCAGTCGGCAGAAGACAAATTATTTGCATTGATACAAGAAGGGGTGAGGAAAGATGTCGAGTGCGCATTTGGTGTGCTGCAAGAATGCTTTCATATTGTTCGTCGACCAGCAAGGTTATGGAAGCAGGTGGACGTTATCAACATAATGCAAGCTTGTGTTATCCTTCACAACATGATAGTGGAAGATGAGATGGAATCAATTAGAGAAGTCTTGGATTTGAATGAAAATCCAAGTGCGACGATAGTGCTCCCACCTGAAGGGCGTACAAGCGACAACCCTAATCCATGCTTCGCAGGGGTACTTCGTAGAAATTCCGCTATCAAAGCTCAGCCAACTATTAGGAAACTCAAGAAGGATCTAATCGAGCACATATGGCAACACTATGGAAACAAAGGAAATTAGACAAAAAAAGGCGTTGGAACTATATATAATATAATTAATATTGATGGTTTCTAAAAATTATTGTAATCATATTGCTCTTATTTATGCTCGATACATTTTCTATCAAATAGCCACACAATGATATACAAAAATGTATACTCCCACGTCTCACAAAAGAATATCATTCTCGCTTTCTGAAAAGTCAAAACTTTTAAACTATGACCAAATATATATAAGAAAACATTAATATTTATAGTGCATACTTGATATCATTAGATTAATCGTTGGATAGAATTTTACAACAAATTTATTTAGATATATAAACATTGCCAAGATTTTCTATAAATCGAGATAAACATAAAAACATTTGACCAACACAAATTATATAACAACAAATTATTCATTGTATTCAAGCCAACCTCCAAACTCGTCGTTCCATGCTGGTTGAAACCTTCTTCGATTATCTTTTTCTCCAATCTGTGTAGTGGGAAAATTGCACGTGCGAGTATAGGATGGCCCATTCTCTAAATATTTCCTTCTCACCTTCTCCCTCTGATTAGGATGGTAAGAATCGATTTCCTTTCTTAAGCCTGGGTCATATTTGATCTCCTATTCCCAATTAAGATCACTTGCACTACCACTGTCCGGTGCTCTTCTTTTGTAAAACCTTTCCATGTCTTTTCTAGTATCCACAATAATATTTAAATTTTAGTTACTTTGTATCAATTATAAATAAATTATTATAGAAAGAATAAAAAAGCCTAGCCCTAAAGGCCTAAAATCTGTACAAACTAACAAGACTACTGACTACAAGAGGACAGCGACAAGAACAAGATATTGACAGAACTGAAAAAAGAATTAACAGAAGAGAAGTATATATACTTACTTTGTCTCACGGTCGATGAACATAAGAGAAGTAGATAACACAGAACAGGGTCACTGGGAGGCGGGCGAACTGCTAGCTTGTTGCCTGCTGCCGTCCCGTGCGGCCATGCCATGCTGCGCTGCGCCCAGCAGCAATTGCGCCGTGGGCCACCTGCCGGCGTGCCGCAGCTGTCGCGTCATGTGTGGATTCGAGTCGGGGAAACAAAACGACGGACGCAGCATCGGAGCCGCGGAGGAATAGGAAAGAGAGTCCGCGGGAGCTGAAGCTACAAAGCGTGCAATCGAGAACTCGAGCGTCGCCAACGCATCACGCAGGCTGTTGTGGGCTCTCCGAGAGATGATGCATATGCATTCCGCGCTGTCAGTATCTTGATCGTCTTGACAACTAATTGCACGTCATGCTGGATATATGTGCGTACCGCGCTAGCTATGACGGACACTGCATTGCACAAAACTTTCTCGATCATGCGATCGGATCCATGGATCGGACGCGAGGGAGAGTCAGTAGCTAGCCACGATGGATCGATCGAGATAGATGTATCCACACGCATGTGGCATGGGCCCGGCCACGGCCACGCCTGTGCTGTGCCTCTCGTGAGTGCCTAAGTGACAGGGTGGAAATGGTAAGGATATTTTTCGACCGTATTCGAATATTCATCATTCGATATCGTATCCGTATTCGAAGACTCAAATCGCATATTTATGATGTCGATACATAATCGTATCCTATCCGACATAGCTAATACTATCCGTATTCGAATCCGAATCCGAACAGAAATATGAAAACAAATGTAATATCAGTGATATCCGTCCGTATCCGATCCGTTTTCATCCCACTCAGTGGTGAGTCATGCATTGCATGCATACCCATCGACGATGACGGTCCCTTTCAATTCTGACTCGCAGTAGATAGATTAGATGGAGGCGGTGGATGCGTGATGAGCTTAGCTGAGAATGGCGAAGCTTATCCCTGCGCTGCGCACCAAGCTCACGTAATTTCCATTTCCTTGCTCCGATCCGTGACATGCGTCGTCCAGCCTCGTCGTCTTTCAAATAATGCAGCTACAGTAGACCACTGCTAGCTGCACTACGTCTACGTACCTCAACCTGCTTTGCGTAATTGCGTTGCTTCGTGGATCTGGATACAGCTGAGCTGCTACTACTTACATACCCTACTAGCCAAAATCCTCCCAGCTCCTCTCCTCCTCGCTCCCAAACCAACAAATAAATCGACGAGCGAGCAGCAACAGCAACTACCGACCCGGACTGAAAAGGGAGGAGAGAGCTAGCTAAGCTGACGGCCAGCTATGGAGGAAGTAGAGGGGCAGCAGCAGCACGGGGCTAGGCACACCGCCGACGGCGAGTAGCACGTCAACGTCGTCGTCGCCGCCGTCGCTGTGGAGGAGAAACAGCAACAGGAGGTACGTACGGTGTGTCGTCCTGTGTGGGCTTTATCTGCTTGCTTCGCTGTATAACGTTGTTGGAACTGGAATAGATCGTTGTGGCTATTCCAACGACTGAAGAAGAAGAAGAAGAGCAGGAACAGCAAGGAGACGGCTGCGACGACGATGACTACGGGGCCGCGGATTGGCGTGACGCCGCCGTGGCCTGGGAGGAGGCGGCGGCGGTGGCTTGGATGAACAATGACAACGCGGCCGAGGCTCGCGCTCGCAGCAAACAGGCGGAGGCGGTGGCGGCCGTGGCTCACGCTCGCAGCAACCAGGTGGCGGAGGAGGTGGAGGAGATGGCGGACTTCATCGGCTGGTGCCTGCGGCTCGTCTTCACCTGCGCACTTCTCCTGTGGCTCTGGTTCGGGTGAAGTGGTGAACACAAGTCGCCGCGCCGGCGAGGTTTCAGCTTAATTAGCCAGTACTACCTAATTTGCCTACTACTCCAGTTAGTACTAACTGCCTGCTTAACAAATAATCTCGCTCGCTAGTCTGTCAACCAGTCGTATGAACAAAATATATATGGTTGGTTCCCCATGTATTATTATATTAATTAATTGTGTGTACGTATCAATGCAACACACGCCTTACGTACTATCAGTTCAGTTATGGAATAGAATGGAAGCCGCGTGTTTGATTGACTAGGCCTGGTTTAAATCCAGGAGTAAAGTTTTATAGTGTCACATCGGGTGTTAAAGTAATGTTGTATGGGATGTTTGATACTAATAAAAAAATAAATTACAGAATTTGTCAGTAATCCGCAAGACGAATTTATTAAATCTAATTAATTCATCATTAGCACATGTGTTACTGTAGCAACACATTGTCAAATCATGGACTAATTAGACTTAAAAGATTCGTCTCGTAAATTAGTCATAAACTATGTAATTAGTTATTTTTTAGTCTATATTTAATAGTCCATGTATGTGTCCAAATATTCGATGAGATAAGGAGTAAACTTTAGGAGAGGAATAAAAAAAAGCCTTAATGTCGCGTACCTGTTTCATCATCCACTTTTCTCCTTTCTTTGCACCTGTTTGATTATTGATTGTTATAGGTGCTATTGTTTTCATAGAAAAAATTGCTTAAACAAATTTAAAACTATTTAACTCATAAACAGACTTTTCATTCTGTTTGCTATGGAGCTAGTACAAAAGTCTGGCAGACTTCTCAAATATGAGAAAATCAAACAAAGCAAAGAAAAAAATTCAGCGGCGAAATTACACAATCAGAGGCCAAAAGGTCCAACGGATCCAAAGAGGCAAATACCCATGGCATATATAATTAAAAACTTTATTTCTGTTCGACAAATCACTATTGATAATTCTTGCTCTTTCGAATTTGATCTGTTTAGTCTTTCTGTGAAGGATCTGACAACAACTAAGTACTCGTACGATGTAATTGCTTGGGCCCCTCTACTCCTTCCATGTGACCATGTGCCGCCAACATGCATGTCCTTGTCGCCGTCGCCACCCCTTGTACCTTTGGCATCGTCAACTTGGCCATTAAGGTGTTGAGGTTGGTTCCTGCTTTCTAAGTTTAGTCCATATCACATCAGATATTCGACACTAATTTAGAGTATTAAATATAAAATAATTATAAAACTAATTGTATAGATTGATACTAATTTACGAGACGAATCTATTAAACTTAATTAGTCTATGATTTGACAATGTTTTGCTATAGTAAACATGTGCTAATTATAGATTACTTATGCTTAATAGATTCGTCTCGCGAATTAGTCACGATTTCTGTAATTAGTTTTATTATTAGTATCTGAACACCTGATGTGACACTTTCTAAACTTTAATCCCTAGATCCAAACACCTGCTAAATTAGTCTCGTTCGTCGAGCCACCTTGGGTTATTATGACAACATCAGTGCAGTTTACCTCTCGAGTAATCTTGTTAAGCATCAACGCAACAAGTGCATCGAGATTGATTGATTACACATTGTCCGTGACAAGTCACTGCCAGGGCAGTTCATGTCCTTCACAAGCCTACGTCATTTCAGTATGCTGATGACATCTTCACGAAGAGGGTCTTCCATCTTCTGTCGTCACAGAGTTTTCCCGTCTGAACGTTCGTCTTCGTGGCTGACCACGCTCCGATTGGCGATTGCTGGGGGGTGTTAGACAAGTTCATAAAGCCTTCGGTTAGCATCTTGTAATCATGTCATTGACTACTGAACAAAGCAGCTTTAGGGGCAGCTACAAACCCTGTGTAGGGGCGGTTGGGCCAGCTGCCCCTATAAGCCGATTTGTAGGAGCAGCTGAAAAACGAACCGCCTTTACAAATAGTTTTTTAGAAATCACAAATCTAGGTTAAAAAAATTGAATACGGGGAGGCCACCAAGCTAGCCGCACACGTGCGTGAAAAACACACGGCGCGTGGCTGCGGGGCTTGAACCTAGAACCTCAGCCTTCACACGTCCTTCCCCTATCCACTCCACCCATTAGATACATGTGTTCTTTTGAGATATTCGTCTACCTAATTTTATCTCCATCCGATTTTAAAATTTGTATTTGGGATTCTAAACAAATTCAAATGAAAGCTATAAAGTTTTATAACTTTTTGAGATCTACAACTTTGATTTTGATTATTTTTTCGTCCAAGGTCTTTTAAGAATTTGAATTTCAAATGTAAGAAATTCAAATGTAATTTTTCATGGATAGATGATTTCAAATGAAAAGTTGTCAACTACAAAATTTTATAACTTTCTGAGATCTACAACTTTTATTTTGATCATTTCTCCATCCGAGGACGATTGGAAAATTTTAAAATTCAAATGTGAGGAAATTCAAATGCAACTTTCCTTGGATAGATGATTGCAAATTTAAAAGTTGTCAACTACAAAGTTATACAACTTTTCAAGATCTGCAACTTTCATTTTAATCATTTCTCCATCCGAGGTTATTTGAAAAATTCGAATTTCAAATGTGAGAAATTCAAACATATTTTTTCTTGGATAGATGATTTCAAATGAAAACGTTGTCAACTACAAAGTTATACAACTTTTGATATCTACAACTTTTATTTTGATTGTTTCTCCACCCGAGCTCATTTGAAAATTTGAATTTTAACACGTAATCACAACTACATAAAACTTAATGGAGGCGGGCATTTTTTATTAATGGAGGTGGGCATTGCAACTGTCTCTAATCAAAAGTCAATGTTAATGGTGACCTATACGCCCGCCTCCGTTAATCACATTAACCGAGGCGGGCGTCTGAAAGCTCTAGTTTGGTTTTGGATAATTGATGAAACCTATGGACTAATCCTTGCGCTAAGTGTGTAGACAAGAAAAGATAGTCCTATACCAAGTGGTGGAGCTAGATGATAGTCATGGTGATGGTGAAGACCAAACTTGAAGATCAAGTGCTTCAACTTAGAAAAGAAGAAAGACAAAAACAAAAACAAGGTTGATCAAGGCAAAGGTATCAAATAGGTTTTTTGTTTTGGCACTCAAGACACCATAGAGGGTGTGAGTGTGTTTATGACCCATAATCGTATTATAAAGAGGGGAAATCTTTGGTTGAGCGGTTATCGAGTGCCACTAGGTGACATGATTCTTGCATATGCATTAGGGACCTAGTGTGCTAACTTTTAACCCTTGAAAAATGCCTAGAAAAATGCTAACACACGTGCACATAAGTTACATGCTTTGTGGTTAGCAACTTGAAAGCAAGGGTAAAGCACTTGCGGAGTTAGAAAAAAAAAAGGACACGTGGGGCAGTGACTGGACCTAGGGATTTGTGTGTCCTGTACTAAACCCTAGCTCTCGGGCAGTGGTGCAGCACTGACCGGACACTACACTAGACGCATGGGGTGCGTCCGATCATGCGGTCTAGAGAGTGTACACAGCGGCTTCGCAATCAGACTCTGGAAGAAGTGGCTGGCCGGACGCGCAGGGGGTGTCAGGTCATCGCTGACGTATGCTGGCGTCTAGTCATGTGCGACCGGACACGTCCGATCTTGACAAATATGCTCGGGGAGCTCTCTGCATATAATTCATCACGATCGGACCCTGAGGCGTCGGCGTCCGGTCATCCTCGAGAGGCGCGTTCGATAGTTGTTCAATTCGAGCTGACTATTAAGTTACCGTTGAGATCGAGTGGATGTAGTTCAAAGGCATGACACGTGGCGGCTATCGGCCGACCGGACTTAGCTGATCGGATGTTGGGGTCCGTCCGGTCAGCGCGTCCGATCATGACTGCGTAGAGCAACGGCTCTATTTGTTTGAGGGGGTCTATAAATAGACCATGGCCGGCTTGGGGCTCACTCTCTTGGTACTTTGACATACTTGACATCCTTGTAAGCCTAAGCAAATACCTCCCACTCATCTTCATCATTGATTCATCATCATAGTGAGATTGGGAGTGATTCCTAGTACATTTGCTTGAGTGATTGCATCTAGTGTCACTTAGGGATCATTGTGGCTGCGTAGTTCTTATTACTCTTGGTGGTTGTCACCACCTAGATGGCTTGGTGCAGCGGAGGAGCATCGGCACGAGCTAGTGATTGTTGGTGGCCATCTCCCGGTGATTGTGAGGGGTCTTGTACCTTCCCCAGCAGAGAGCTGAAAGGTAACTCTAGTAAATTGCTCGTGTCATTGAGTTACCTCACTTGTGGGTAGGTTCTTGCGGCGCCAAGTGTTGGCTAGGTGTGTGATACCTATTAGCTGCTGAACCACCAAGTGTTGGTCGACACAACGGGGACTAGCGTGCCGGAAAGCACGTGAACCTCGAAAGATAAATCTTGGTGTCCATTGTGATTGGAATTTTCTCGGTGATTGAATTGGCATTCATATTGTGATTGGTTCATTCCTCGACATGGTGGTATAATCACCCTCCTCACTCTCTTACATTATTTGCAAACTAGTTGTGTAGCAAGCTCTTTAGTGTAGCTCTTAGTGAGTAGTTACTTAGTCTCTTGTGTGCCTAGTGATCATAGTAACTACAATTATTGAAATAGGTGGCTTGCAACCCTTGTAGAGCTAGAGCAAAATTACATTACACCATTTAGTGTACTAACAACTTGCTCTAGTATATTTGTAGAGAATTTTTATAGGCTATTCACCCTCCTCTAGCCATTTAGGACCTTTCAGCGTCTTAACATGCCTGACTCCGTTAATGTTCTCTAGAAAACCCAAGAAACCAAAAAACTTTCGACTTTGGAGAGTTGAACCCACAACCTACCACTCAACATTACAGCGTGTCTCTACCACTACACCGCACACTAATTCATGTCTATATATAATATGCTATCTTTTTATATCATATTTCGCAATCTTATATTGGATATTTTGGCTACTAAATGAACTCAGATGAAAAAACTTTTAACTTTAAAGTTTTAAATCTTGTCAAGTACCA